TATGTGCCTGTATCTGTATGTGTGTTTGTTTATGTGTATGTGTATTTTTGTATGTTAGTACTTTAAACAACTCCTTTGTATATGATTGGCCCGCTTACATGGAAACACCAATATACACACACACGTACACACACACACACACACAAACATATATACATGAAAAACAAATGAAAAATTTATACAAAAAATACCAAAAAATTTAACCAAAACAACAATAAAAGACACAGCAGACATTGCTAATGTTAAAAAATTAATTGAAATTTATCAGCACAACGAATGAGCTATGCCATTATATAAATAATAATAATGCATGCATATTGATAGCATGCCATAGTTAATGTGTGGATGTGTGTGTGTATGTGTCCGTATGTGTGTGTTTGCGTGTGCGTGTGTGTGTGCGTGTGTGTGACTGCATAACAATAGATTGCAACAAATCATAGACTCGTGGTTGATCAAATTGTTCCAAAAAAATTGAAAATATTATAAACTAAACATAAAAAAAATGGAAAAAATAAGAAAAAAAAATTTTTCGCCATCTTGGGCAATAATAAGTTTTTTATGAATGGCCAAAGATAAAATAGCGATGCACCGATTTGTTATTTTCATTATTTATAGATTGTTCTGGGTTTCATCTCTCAAGAATTTTTTCTTGCTTTGTTCTCGATTTATTTATTCATTCAATGGTTCTTTCTTTTATTCATTCATACATACTTTCATTTATTCATCTATTTTTCATTCATGCATTCATGCATTCATGCATTCATTCATTCATTCATTCATCCATTCATTCATCTATTCATTTCGAATACGTCACAGTAAAATTCTTCATGGGCGAAAATGGCAAAGTTTAATGTCGGTCTGTCATCTTTCTCTCTATCCACCTATCTATCTTTTAATTTCATTCATTCCTTCACCTATTCATTCAATTATCCTCTCACTCGTCAATTCATTTGTTTCATTCAACCCATCCACTAACAATTACACTTCAGTGAAATTTTCCCAATTCATTAATCAACAAAAGAATGAGCAAAGTCATTTTTCCATTCACTCGTTCATCCAATCACCAATCCATCCAACTTTCCATTCATCCATCCATCCATACATCCATCCATACATACATCTATCCTTCTTTAATTCATTCATCCAATCTTTTACTCAATCCATCCACTAACAGATACGTCACAGTAAAATTTCCCCAGTACGGGAATGATTGGTGCAATGTCAGTAGAGCCCAAGTAGCCATGCTTCTCGTCATTATATTCACCACCATCGCCTGCACTCCCAATTTCATCATTACCATTATCAGGAACGATTGTAGTAACGACCTCGTAAATAGCAGTAGTAGTGGTAGCGGCTTCAGTAGCCTGAGTAGTAGTGGTAGTAGTAGCAGCAGTAGTAGTAGTAGTAGCAGCAGTAGTAGTAGTATTGGTAATAGTTTTAATAACAGTAGTAGTATTATTAGTTTTCATGGTAGTAATAACGATGATAATGATGATGATGCTAACAATGATGATGATGATAGTGATGGTGATGTTGATGATGATGGCTTGGACGGCACCAATACTATGCCATTATATCAGAGCAGAGATGTTTTAAGTTCACCGGCGAAGAATATAAATTTGAATAAGATTTCTTATCGCATTTCATCCTCATCGTCCTCTTCACCACCATCATCATTATCCCCATCAGATACACCACCATCACCACCACCATCAGATACATCATCACCGCCATCACCATCACCAGAAATATGGTGTGTAGACATAGCCACCGAATATACAACCATGTCTACGCTAAACTTTTGGTCTCAGTCCCTCCTATTCAAATTGATACCATGTTGTCTACTGACTATTCTCAGCATATGTCTGATAAAAACGATGCGTGAAGCAGACGAGAAGAGGATTAGGCTATTAGGCAGAAGAGAGGGGTCCAATATGGCGGAAAAAAACAAAATTAGCTTGTTAGGCAAAAGTGGGAGGTCGAATATGGCCGGCGAAAACCGTAGCAGTAGTAGTATTGGTGGTGGTAATAGTAAGATGGCCGCCATTGTTAGTGAGGGGTCCAACATGGCGGGCAAAAACAAAATGGCAATCGGGTTTGAGGTAGTGGAAAATTTCAACACGGCTGGTGGTGGGTGCATGATGGTTGGAAGGTCGGGTTCCGGTATGGTGGAAAGTTTAAAGGATGAAGAGGGTACGGAAAATAATATCGTCAACGACAGTGATGGTGGTGATCAACATCTTCAGGAGAAGCTTCAACAACAGCAACAACAACAAAAACAACAACAACAACAACAAAATTTTGAAGTAACGCAAAGCAAAATCTCAGCAAAGGATGACGACAAAATCATTCAACAAACGACATCCTCAAAGCCAGAAATGACGTCACTAACAACCGCAACATCAACAACAGCATCAATAAAAACAACATCAATAACAACACCAACGTCATCATCAACAAAGACAACAACAAAATCGCTCACAGCTACAAGAACACCAACTAAAAACCCATCCATCACAACAACAACAACAACAACAAACAAAGCCAACAGCAAAAAAAACATGAGCACCAACAACACAGCAACAAAACGCAACACAAATCGCACAACGAAAATGTTGGTTGCCGTCGTTGTTTTGTTCCTGATAACTGAGTTCCCGCAGGGCGTTCTCATGCTTTTTAGTGGATTTTCGGAAACCTTTAAAGATGAGGTTGTTTTTGTGGTTGCTGCTACTGCTGCTGCTTTTGCTGCTGCAGCTGCCATTGGCAGATCTAGGGGTTTAGTAGAAGTGTAATACACACATCAGACCAAAGCAGAGAAAATTTTTCGGAAAATTATATTTACAATAAAGTGAACGGGAATTAGCCAAAAAATTTCGACTGAGAATTTTTGAAATCAGCCTCTCAGAAAAATTCTGAACTGCCACTGGCTGCTGTTGCTGCTACTACTGCTGCTGCTGATGATGATGACAATGATGATGATGACGATTATAATTATTAATAATTCTAAACATTTAATAATTATTAATTGTGAATAATATATATTATTTAATATAAATATAACAGGTTTATCTTCCTCTCGGCGATTTCATAGATATCATAGCTCTGATCAACAATGCCATCAACTTCATCCTCTATTGCACCATGAGCAAGCAATTTAGAGACACGTTCATGAGTGTACTATGTAAAAATAGGAGTAATAATAACAACAATAACAACAACAACAATAATAATAATAACAATAATAATAATAATAATAAACTTTGCGGTAGTACTAAATGCAGTGATGATTGTAGTATTTGCGGTAGTTGTCTTAGCTTCCGCAGCTGCTGTCGTATATTTTGTAGTAGTAGTAGTAGTGGTGGTGGTGGTAGTGGTAGTAATAATAATAATAATAACAATGATAACGGTAACAAAAATAATAAAAGCAATAACAAAATGAGAAACGACCGTGACAAAAGATACGAAAGTATAAAATGTAAGGACGACGACGACAACAACAACAACAATAATAATAATAATAATGATTAATAATAATAATAATAAAGATGATGATGACGTTTGAATTGTTGTTGATTTCTGACAATATTGTTTTATTGTTGTAGTAGTAGTAGTAGTAGTAGCAGTAGTAGTAGTAGTAGTAGCAGTAGTAGTAGTAGTTGTAGTAGAAGAAGTAGTAGAAGTAGTAGTAGTAGTAGAAGTAGTAGTAGTGGTATGGGTGGTATTAGTAGTAGTAGTAGCAGCAGCAGTACCAGCAATAGTAAAAGTAATAACGAAAGTATTATTTTGATAGTAGTAGTAAGAATGATCAAATTTTAAGCGAAAATATTCATAGAGACGTAATATTAGTAGTATGTATGTATGCATGCATGTATGTATGTATGTATGCACGAATGCATGCATGCATGTATGTATGTATTGTATGTAGTATGTATGTAGGTATTTACGTGTAATGTATGTAATGTGTACATTAATTCAGTTATTAATTATTCATGTTGCATTTGTCGTTATTTCTCTGTAAGAAAATGGCGCTGTATAATTTTTTCCGTTTTGTATAATTTTTCCATATTTTTAATTCTTTGTTTTTCCTCATTTTTCGTTTTTAAAATATTTTTCCATATAAGTCAGTTTCTATAGTGTAATGCAGTGTTCCAAGTAATAAAATGTGTGTGTGTGTGTGCGTGCGTGTGTGTGTGGGTGTGTGTATGTGGGTGTGTTGTATCATTAAAAATAGATTTAATTCATTTTAGTGGTTTCTAGAAACTGCTAACGAGGCGTTCGTGTTTCTCTAATTTTGTGAGTTTGCGTGGTGTGTGTTTGTATGTTTTTGTATGTGTGGTGTGTTTTTATGTTTGTATATGTGTGTGTATGCGTGGTGTGTGTGTGTGTTTGTGTATGTGTGTGTATGTATTTTTCGTTAAAATTATATTATTATTTTCATTGTAAGACATATCAAAAAATTGTACTCAAATCTTGAACATTTAAAATTCCATTTTCACTCCATTCCTTCACTCCGTTGTTTTTCGTTTATTCAATCCTACATTATTCCCTTCTTCATTCATTCATTCATTCATTTATTTAATCATGCATTCATTCATTTATCCATTTATTCATTCATTCATTCCGCTTTAGTTTTGTTATATTGGTCAGCTTCTGCAATTGTTATCAATGATCTCACTAAAAAACATTTAATAAGAATACATATATTTATATATCTATTTGCTGGTTTGTTTATTCATTCATTCATTTATTCTTTTATTCATTCATTCAATCAATCATTCGTTCGTTCGTTCGTTCGTTTATTCAGTCAAATAATATATAACACAGCGTAATTCGATCATTCCCGCTGTTTTAGCAATACTATTTTAATTTCTTTGTTTTCATAACTATGTTGACGTCATTTTCACCCATTTATAACATCATATATAAGAAACATAATAAACAATAACATTGAATTTTTAAAACTCAAAATTTACTTTAAATTCAGTAAAATTACTAATATATACATATATACACACGGATAAATAAGCTAGTTATATTTTTTGTAATTGTTATCCATGTTATTGCTAATGTAAAATAAAGTGAGTTCGGGTAAGGTTATTATTATTTGGTTTATTATTATTAATTATACTTTTTTAATATTATTTTAATATGCTAAGTAAAATAAATTTTAATAAAAAAAAATACGTTCAATTCTTTATATTTGATATGAATTACTTTGACGTTGAAACGGTCATTGGTTAATTAAGTATAAACTTAAATACTTACTATTCGATATAACTTATTAATTAACCAGTTAATTAACATAATTATCCATTATTATTATTGTTATTTATTATAACATAATATTCAAATTAAATGAATTTATAGTATTTTTGATAGAGCTACCTCACATAATTAAAAACTGCCTCATCTAAAACAGGCAACAAGTTCACAAGCACCCAGTCGGATGGAGAAAGGACAAAAATCAAATTTGACCCAGAAACGTGTGGGGTCAAGCTCTTCACGCGTCGAAGAACCTTCACTTACGTTAAACTCGGATAACGCCCTAAAGCCCGTAAAAATAGTGCCGAAAGTTTACGATCCGAAGCGAGCCGTAACTCTTGACTATCGGGCAGATAAAAAGGACCACTGCTGCGAGTTCTACATACACAATACAGAACCGACGGTGATCAAATACGAGATATCGAGGGACCTTGAGGAGTGCTTGCATTGCCGACCAACGAAGGGCATCATCAAAAGTTCAGAGATCGCGGTCATTGTGGCCGCCCTCAGATCAAAATGGATTCAGAAACAGGATTGGTCAGTATTTGACACTAACGGCTACCTTGGTAAGATGATCGTGAATCTTAAAATACCAATAAGCTCTCCGGATTTGGAAATTTTCCAAAACGGAATGACGAGAGTTAAGGTAGAGAAACATAACCTGATAATCCTACTCTCTCAAAAAAGCGTCGACGTACTAACCAAAATCGAGGAACCGTCAGCAGAGTCATACAACAAACAAAAGGCTCTGGAATACGTGAAACAGTTGCAATTAAAAGAAAAAGCCACCAAAGCATTAACATACCTACGCCTGTCGATTTTGATTGAATACCCAAAATGGGTGGCAGCGGCTGTGGTCGGCTTCTTGGCTTTATATTTCGACTTGTGCTTCGACAAAAATTAAGCATGATTGCTCCAGTTAGTTCGCAGTCAGCTGTGAAAAATCGACGATTCTAAAATGTTGCCTCAAATTTCTCGATTAATTAGTGTTAATTAATTAATTAATTAACTAATTAAATAGTATTAGTCGAAAATTGTCCATTTTAATTCGTTTAAACGATAGCTTCATTTCTCTTTGTCTCCGTTTAATAATATTCACCCAACTTTACTAATAAAAAAAATTTAAGAAAAATCATTGGAGTTTTAAGTAGTAGTAGTAATAATAATACAAATCAATAATTTGACGACGACGATTTTGCAAGTTGTTTAATGAAATTTAAAAAAAAATAAAAAACTATTTATAAAGAAAGCTACGAAAATATTTTAATTAACTAACAAGCGATCTATCAAACAGTAAATATTATTAGTTGTAGTAGTAATAGTACTGTAATAGTTGCATGGTAGTAGTAGTAGTAGTAGTAGTAGTAGTAGTAGCAGCAGTAGTAGCAGTAGTAATAGCAATTAGAAAGACGAACCATTACTCTATATTCGAAAAAATCTTTTAAAAGTAACAATATATTGATAACAATAAAGACAAAGAATGAGTGATTGAAACAGCGTTTATTTATTTGTTCAACTTCAACACTTACTACTGCCGTTAAAAAAATTATCCTAAAACAAAAACGGAGAGAGAGAGAGAAAGAGGGAGAGAGATAAAATTGAAACCAAACATTTGGATATAAAATAAACGGATAAAAAATCTTAAATAAATGGATAAAACAAATTCGAAAATGAAATTAGTCGAAATTTAATCCGAGACCAAACAAAAAACTTAAAAAAGCCGACAGTCACATTATATCGCTCAACAGATCCATCACTAAATGAATGAATCAATGAATCAATGAATCAATCAATCGATCGATCAATCAATCAATCAATCGATGGACGAGCTAATCAATCAATCGATCAAACCAATTACAACCAATCAATCATCTAATTAACCAATCAATCAACCAATTAATTAATTAACCAACTAATAATTAATTCAATCATCAAACCGACCAATCGGTTAAATCGACATCTAATCACCAACAAAAACTGTCGTCTTAAACAACAATAAAACAACAACAACAACAACAATAATAATAATAATTTCCTAATTAAATGAACTACAAAAATATGATAAAAGCAAAGAAAACATAGATATAAATACTATCATACTCAATATAATTTTCTATTAACATGCTACTAACATAGAAAAAAGCATATATATATATATATGTATATATATGTATATATATATTTTTTTACAATATTCTATTTTATAGAATATTGTAAAAATTATGGTCTATTACCAACACGTATATATATATATATATATATATATATATATATATATATATATATATAACGGTAACCATAGTAACCATAACACACATACTTATTATATATATATATATATATATATATATATATATATATATATATATATATATATATATGAGATACTAACCAAAAATTAATTCAAATTCAAAAAAGATGTCACTGATTCCAACAAAACATAGACATTTCGGCATATTGAAATGGAATAAATTCATGGCAAAATGGAAAAATAATTTTCTTTTATTATTATTCTTTCTTTGTTCACGTAATGAATGATGTCCAAGAACGAAAAATATGGGCACACTTTATTCAAATTCTTTAAAAAGAAAGAACCACGATTGGCTGGAACGGTCGACCAATCAGGGTCAAAGTGGAGAAACAATCAATTAACCACTCTGATAAAACCTTCAAACAGACTAATCAACCAACCAACCAACCAACCAACCAATCAACCAACCAATCAACCAATCAATCAATCAATCAATCAATCAACCAACCAACCAATCAATCTATCAATCACTTAATCAATCAATCTATCAACTAATTAATTAATAAACCAATCACACGCTAAATTCAATAGACCAGTTAGTTAAACGAACATGCATTCAATTATAAAATAAACCTCTGTTTTCAATTTTCAATCATACTTGTCACTGATGAATGAATATTAATTATATTACAGAAATTTTCAAAAAAGTAATAAAATAATATTATTAATCTAACATTAAAGTTATAAACGAGTGCAAGCTAGTATACATATATATATATATATATATATATATATATATATATATATATATATATATATATATATATATATATGTGTGTGTGTGTGTGTGTGTGTGTGTGTGAGTGTGTATGTGTGCGTGTGTGTACGTGTGAAGATGTGATTATGTATCAACAACATAAGCATGGACAATGATAATGAGACATAACAAGATGATGATTAGTCATTTCCTCTTATATTATATCAAAATTAATAACAATTATCGCCTTAAGCTGTCAAATCTATCCAGAAAAAAAACCTTTCATCATCATTTTCGTCATCATCATCATCATTATTATTATCATCATCATTATCATCATCATCATCATCATCATTATTCTTATTATTATTATAAAACATCATCACCATCATCGTCATAGTCATCAGTCGTCTTCCTTTCTTTTAAAGAGAGCTACCCTTGCTATGATCTCCCAGGACATAGATCCTAGAGAAAAAAAGATTATAAAGTAGAAATAACGACAACAACAACGACAACAACGACAACAGCAACAGCAGCAGCAACAACAACAATAGCAGCAGCAGCAACAACAACAACAACAACAACAACAGCAGCAGCAGCAACAACAACAACGACAACAACATCAACAGTAGCATACTTATAATAGGAGTTCATCTGTTCCAGAATGATGAAAGTAAGGACCGTATGTGGTCCGAGCCTGGCGTAGTAGGGGGTGAACCCTTTCCACAGGCTGAAGAAGCCCTCATTTTTAATCACCCTCACTAACACGTCCTGATGATGATGATAGGATGATGGTGATGATCAAATTTCTTTTATTCGATGATCTCAAATAATTTATGCAACAAATAATGACATAAATAGAAGAAAATTATAAGGTTGATCGAGAAAGAAACCAAAAAAGTTTATCTAATCCGACCACCCTTTATCACTTTTATAGTTGTTAGAAGAAATAGGTCATTAGTAAAAAGTTAAACCCAAAATGATTATGGTGATGATGATGGCCGTGACGATAGTTTGATGATAGTGACATGGATGGGTGATGGTGGTGATTGATGTACATCGCGATTGTAATGATGATGGTTATGGTGGTGATGAGGACGACGATGATGACGATGATTACAACTAATATGATGAACGCACCAAGGCTCCACTATACTCTGGCTTTCCATCAATCACTTTCATGCTCTGAATTCTGTTGGAATTATCAATTAGCCAATCAAATGAAACAATTCAATCAGCTGGTCAGTCATCAATCAACCAGCCAAACAACGAATTAACCAACCAGTCAATCAATCATTCAACCAATTAATCAATTAGTTAATCATTCCTTCGAATGACCTAAATAAACTGACCTAGTTTTAGCAATGTCCACAGGCATAGAAGCAGCAGTAGTAACCAGGCCACTGATCATACTGGCCACAAAATGGAGGGTTATGTTCTCCTCGAAGTATCCTGATGGTGATGGAGATGATGCTGTTGATGGCGAGCCAACCAAACAAACCAACCAACCAATCCACAAACCAACCAATCCACAAACCGACCAATCCACAAACCAGCCAATCAATCCACAAACCAACCAACCAATCCATAGACCAGCCAACCAGTCAACTGATCAAACCAACTAATCAATCAATCAACCAACTAACTAACCAGTAGACAAAACAATCTGCTTAGCCTGTGAGTATGAAGCAAGCTGGGCTGCATTCACGACCATCGCCCTAACTACAGTTGGTCCACAGCCCTGAATAACAACAACAACAATAATAATAATAATAATAATAACAACAATAATAATGAAAATAATAACAATAATAATAACAACTAACACAAAACTGCTACTAATAACCATTACTACTACTCACTCTCCAGAGAGTTAGAACGCCCTCCTCCTTAGTAATTCTATAGAGAGCATCGAAGACATTCTTGTAACCCCTTCTCTCAGCTGGGGGCAATCTGACGATGATAACGACGACGACGATGATAACGACGATGACAATGACGATGCAAAACTTATCATACAAATTTCTCACCAAATCTCCGAATGAAAAACTCTACCCCACCCCACTTCACTCCACACAGTCTGAACTGACCTTCCATCCGAGGTCATCCTAATTAGAGACACCTCGGCCGGCGTTCCAATGAAAGACCCGACAGCCCCTGCGGCCATACCGAGGGCCGCTTTCATGAAGAAGTTTGGAGATTTATTATCCCTGTTTGGTTGTGTGTGTGTGCGCTTGTGTGTGTGCGTGGGTGTGTGTGAGAGGAAATGTGTGCATGTATTTGTGTATGTGTGAACGTAGGGTTCATTCACTCATTCATTCATTCATTTATTCATATCCACTAACTTGGAGAACATTTCGAAGAGGTATTGATATACCTCTTCAAAAGGGTATACGTAGGGTTCATTCACTCATTCATTTATTCATTCATCCATCCATCCACTAACTTGGAGAACATTTCGAAGAGGTATTGATATACCCCCAGTCTCCCTGTGGTATAGGTTGCCTGCCTCAAGAGGCCAGCTGATAGGCTATAGAAATTGAAAAACAAAACCATAGTATATCCCCATTAATCCATCATTCATTCATTCATTCATTGACCCATCCATTAATGCAATTAATTAATCAATCAATCAATTAACCAATCAACCAACTAACCAACCAACCAACCAAGCAATCAACAACAAATGATATTTAATTATTATTATAATTATTATTAATCAATTAATTATTATAATTATAATTAACCGACCCTGCATAGAGCCCTGTAAAACCTTCATTCTTGATAATATTTTTGGCACAGGTGAAACTAGTCACCCTTTCTTTAGCTGTACCCACACCTAATTATATATATTTAATATTTAATTAATATTTTATTAAATATTAATACTTAATTACACCTAATTATGAATAATACATAAATAACAATAATAATTATTATTATTATATAATATGTAAATATATATATATATATATTTATGTTATATGATAATTATATATGTAATAAAAAAATAGTTAAGATAATCATGAAAAAAACTATTAATTGATAAATAGAGTAGCAATAACATGGATAAATAAATGCATGAATTTATAGATGAATGGATGAATGAATGGATGAATGGAAGGACGAATGAGCATACCACTCAATTGCATTCTGTTCTTGATCAAATCTAATGGTTGGACTACACAAGTTGCCATCATACTAAGAAATAAATTATTATAAATAGTAATAAAACATAAATAATATTGAAATATGTTGCTATATTTGAAAATTTTAAATAAAAATTAACCTAAAATATAAATTTAAAACTTAAAAACCAAACACCACACTTAAACCAAATTAAACTATGAAAATTTCACTCATATTTTTCATTTTAATAAACTTCAAAAACATTCTAGAATCTACTATCAATTTTGGGCTTTGTCAGATCAGATAGCCAGCTAAGATTTTGAAATGTGATAATAAAATGAATGAAACCAAGTGAAAAAAAGTTATTTTATTTAAAATGGTCAACTATCAATCCATGATTAAACACAAAATTGAATTTTATTTAAAATATTATATTAAAGGATTAAATCTAACTAACCCGGCCGTGCCACCGAAAACGAATTTCATGTATTTGGGCATGGTTTTAGGAGGAGGCGGAGGTGAGGCCACAGGTTCTGGTTCTTTCTTCGGAGCCATCACTTACGTTTGAATCACTAACTTTAGTAAAAATAATTGTGATTTTGTTAGAAAAACGCGGCCAAATATTTTCAAAAACGCGAAATTTAAAATCAACCTTGCCGAGGTCGGAAAATAAAATTTGTTCCGTTTGGACTTAATCATAAATTTATTTTTATTTTATTGTAGCGCTTCACTTTTTAAATATTTTAGTTTGTTGAATATTTCATCAAATGTGTGATTTTTATGATTTTACTCAAGTAATTTTTATTTAATATATAGTATTAGTAAAAATAAGTTGTTGAGCTTATCATATAATTAAGTTTTTTAATAAATTTTTGCTTAAAAAAGTAAAAGTACTCATATTTATAACCGCCAACAATTGATTTTTCAATTTTACGATACTAAATACTTAGTATAATGAAGTGATTTTTGGTATTTTTGTATTTGTGTATATTTTGTATGCATTTCTGTTTGTTTGTATGTATATTTGTATGTGTATTTTATTGGATCTTCCCAAACAAGGTATACAGGCTTGTTTATTGATCTATCTGTAACTATGTATCTACGTATATGTTTATGTATCTGTTTATATATAAATACACATACACGCAGACATACAAACAAACAAACATACATACATATACAAGCCCACATGTCTTAAAATTAAAAAAAATTTATAAATAAAAATATTGATCTAATATATTCCATATACTCTATACATTTCATACATCTTTTATATACAAATATGGATTTACATTCTCAAAAACATTTGTGTATGTGCGTATATATATGCGTATATCTGGGTATATATGCTGGTATAGGAGTACATGTAGGCGTATTCACGTACAATACATACGAACCTTACGTATGTACGTTTTGTGTACAATAGATGAAGCATCTCCGATGCCATTGTACACAATTTAGCGTACACACATATATATGCACTGACTGACTGCCCTTATGGCGTATGTATACTTGTATACACACCAAATACGCAAACTACAAACTTATACACATACATACAGACGCAAACATACACAGATACACATTTGGATGCAAATTGGAAAAACACATGCGAACATATGCTTAAGTGCTTACATATATTCAAGAATACATTCATATATATATATATATATGTATATATATATATATACTATATGCACACATACATACATACAAATATACAAACACACACACACACGCACACACACACGCACACACATACATACCGATAAAAAAATATCAAATTAAAATTCAAATATTACACAAGATATTACGCAGGTTTACATTAACCAGATCTATACTGTATAAATGTATGCATGCATATATGTATGTATGTATGTATGTATGTATGAATGTATGTATGGATGTATGTATGTATGTATGTATGTATGTATGTATGTATGTATGTATGTATGTATGTATGTATGTATGTATGTATGTATGTATGTATGTATGTATGTATGTATGTATGTATGTGTATGTAGTTTTGTATATCTATAAAAAGATCAAACATACACCCACTGTTTATTATTGAAGATGTTTATCTTTATTCATCTTTATTGTTGTATTTGTATGGCGGTACGTTTGTATGTTTTAGTAATTTGTATGTATGTTTTTACTTTATGTTTGTATGTCTTTTTGTATAGTTTGTATGTATGTGTGTTTTTTTTGTATTTTTACGGTATTTTTCATTAATATAATCAACACTATAATGTTTTCAATTATGTCAATTATGCAAGTATGTTTGCATGTTGGTCTATGTATGTGTTTATATATATGTATGATTGTTGTTTGTATGTTGTTGTGTATGTTTGCTTGTATATACGTTTGTGTATTTGTATGTTTTTGTATAGTAATTCGTATGTTTGTTGTTTGTTTGTTTGCATGTATTTTTGTATGTATTTTTAGTTAATGCAATATACAAAGATCACTTATCACAACAATTTCAGAATTTTACAGATTTATATGGATTAAAATAGACAACGTTATTCAAATACAACGACAACATCAACAACAATATCAACCACAACATCAACAACAACAACAATTTTTATAAGTTAAGCAACAACAACAACAATATAATACTAACATCATTAACGTAAACAACAATAGCAACGACAATAATGTCTTTGAAACAACAACAACAACATCAACAACAACAACAACAACAACAATTAAAGAAATCAAAACAGCAACAAAACAACGAAAAAATCAACAAAATTATGGCAGACGGCGCTAAAAATTATCCGGCTTATCTTAAACTAATCTATACCGGTAAGTAAATGTATTACATGGTAAATGTTTACACAGACACACACACCACACACACACACAAACAAACAAACAAAAATTCAAACATACAAGCAAACAAGCAAAACATACCATACATGGTATAAACTTCAATTCTAACAATCATACATACAAACCGTTGTGTAATGCTTTATATTATACATAGATCATTGTTGAGACAAGGAGAAAAATACTTGTACTACTACTATAGCAAGTACTGCTGCTACTACTTATAAAACTACTGCTACTACTGCTGCTGCTACTACAACTACCACAACAACAACTACTACAACTTCTAATACCACTACTACCACTACAAATAATAATATTGCATTTTTACAACTACTGCAACTACAGCTGCTGCAACTACTACTGCTACTACTACTACCACTACTACTACTACTACTACAACTACTAATACTACTACTACTACTACTACAACAACTACTACTACTACTACTACTAATAATAATAATAATAGTAATAATAACTTTTCAGGCGATTCAGAGATCTCATCGGATGACGACCACTCGCCACTGCACAGAAGAAAGAATAATAAGAATAATAATAAAAATAATAACAATAAACATAATGAAATTATTAATAGCATAAATAATAACAATAATAATAATATAAATTATAACGATATTAATAATAATAATAACGACTCAACCAATTGTAATAATCTCACGGACAAAAATAATAATAATTATGGTAATAATAATAACAATAATAATTATGGTGATAATAATAATAATAATAATTATGTTTACTATAACGATAACGACGAGAACGACGATTATGATGATGATAAGAACACCGGTGGTAATGATAATGATGGTTATGAAAATTTTAAAAGTAAATTTAGATCGAGAACCTTGGATGAGCTGTCGAAAATAAAATACGAAGGTAGAATTTATCATCAGCATCAGCAGTCACAGCAGTGTAATCGCTATCACTATCACCACTTCCATCAGTAAATAATCATCGTCATCATCGTCATCATTATCATCATTATCATCATTATCATCATCGTCATCATCGTCAGTATTTTATTAACATTATCACTTTTATTGTACAATATTTAGATAAGGAACAACAACAGTCAGCAACAAGAAATAATAATAATAATAACAACAACAACAACAACAACATTAATAAACATAACAACAAATATAACAACTACTTCAACAAAAAAACTTTTAGAGGTTAGAATGAAATTTACTCTATCATCATCGTCATCATCATCGTCATCATTTGCTAAATTGCAATCGCAAACAAAACTCTCTTAATCATCATAATCTTGTCTTAGCTCAGGCCGTGGGCAAACCAAACTTTTTGGTTTGAGGGCCTCCCTGAGAACTATTTGACCTTTGAAGGGCCGCATTGAGAACTATTTGACCTTTGAAGGGCCACATTGAGAACTATTTGACCTTTGAAGGGCCGCATATGTACTTAAACAGCAACATTTTTGACCCTGGGGAGAATTTTTTAAAGATTTGTGGCCCTGTCATTGTGACCCTTCATAAAGTTGTTAATACTATTATATTACGATTATTATTATTAATTTATTATTGATACTATTATTAATTTATTATTATTGTTATTATTATTATTTTCAGATCTTTATAACTGGCACTCCACAAATAATAATAATAATAATAATAATTTTTATGACCATGATGACGATAATGACAAATTAAAAATAAATATGGATGATCAAGCGCTGATTGAAAGAATGGACATGAAAAAAGAATTAATGCAGGTTTTCATTCATTCATTCATTCATTTAATCATTATACAATTTATTTATAAAGCTATTAATTCATTCATACGTACATGCAAACATACATACACACACACACACACACACGTACACACAAATACACACTCACACATTCATACACACAAACATACACACACATACACACACACACACACATACGCAGATCCAGGAAGAAATATCGTCATTAAAATCTGTCTTGGATACAAAAATAATGCTAGCTAATCAATTGAAGAAAAAACTAGGCCTAACCACTATGGTCGAGTTTAAATCAAGTATTAAGAATATCAAGAGTTCAGAAACGTTGGTTTTCATTCATTCATTCTTTCATTCATTCATTCATTCTTTCATTCATTCATTCATTCATTCAGTTTCCTTAAGACGAACGCCGCTTTGCGTTCGTTAGGAACATTCGCGTCTAAGACGTTTGGAAATCTGAGGTGACATTATTATTATTATTATTGTTATTCATTTATTATTATTATTATTGTTGTTGTTGTTGTTGTTTTGATGATGATGATGAAAACGACGATGACGTCATTTGTTGTTTACAGAACTTCATCGTCAACCTTCTTCAAACAAAATGAAAGTTCAATGAATTTGATCAAAGTAAGATTGAATGAATGAATGAATGAATGAATGAACGAACGAACGAACAAACGAACGAATGAATGAATGCATGAATGAATGAATGAACAAATGAACAAATGAACGAACGAACGAACGAACGAATGAATGAAAGGATTACCCAATAACAATTTCAAAATTTCATCTAAACTCCAGCAGTCCCAATCGCTGGCTAACTTGCAGAATGATCAGGTTAAATCTAGAAGAACAATAACCATAATAAAAATAGTTATACAAACATTTATTATTATTTTTATTATTTATTATTATTGCTTACGATTTGTCCGTAATTATTTTCATAATTTAATTAAATCTAACAGGGATTTATGAAGCCGAGCAAATCAGAAACCAATGTGGCATCATATCAATGAGACGGTCGTCCTAGTTTTCACCATCATCATCATTACTTCAGTATTCATTCTGTGGTTCGATCATTCATTCATTCATTTATTGGTTCATTCATTCAATCGTCTGTTCATTCATTCATTCATTTATGAACCTACTTAATCAGTCGTTCGTTCATGTTTTCATTCATTCATCTATCTATCCATCCATCCACCTACTTAATTTATTAATGCATCCAATCATTTTTTCTGTTCTCAATTCTTCATTCCTTCATTCCTTCATTCATATATTTAACCATTCATTTACTTATCCATTCATTCAATCAATCATTCCTCTTTTTGTAATAAAAAATAAACCATTACTATAATACTTAATATTATCAGTGTATTAATATTGCTATTATTAATATATATGTAAATATAAGTATAACACACACACACACACAAACACACACACACATATATATACATATATATATAATTTTTTTATATGATATCATTACTATCATCATTGATAGTGGAGTAACGCATTATCATTGTATTTGACGATGTTGTCCGTTATATTGTATAGTTCAGAAGTGGGCAAACTGCGGCCGGCGAGGTCTTGCTCGTCTAATAAAAGGTTGTCAGCCAGACATTCTGACCAAAAGAGTCACAGATCTTAAACAACTTCTCCCTCGGGTCGAAATAATTTTCTATTTAAGTACAAATGCTAAAATAGTTCTCAATGCTGCCCTTACAGCCAAAAGTTTGCCCACCCCTGATATAGTTAATCACCTTCATCGTCATCGTCGTATCATTGTTTCTATATAAACAATATTAACTTCGAATTTAATCCTAATTGACAGTAATTAATTAAGATTTTGTAAACACTTACGTCTGCGGCTTCACAAGCCAGCCACATGTCCGAGCAATACAAACGTAACTCCTCTAGCTTCAAATCATTTCTGGAGGAAACCAACAACTAAGAAATAGATAGCTATTTGAAACGAAACGGCTACAAACAATATCCGCGAAGTTTACCGTTTTTAACCGCACGGTCATCCACAGAGGACTGAAATGCATCAACATCATGATAGCTTTTAAAAACCTAACTTTCCCACATACACAAATACCCATAAAGCTACTTTTTTATAATAAAACACCTTCACAAACTAAACTGTACGCTTGTATATATATATGTATATATATATATATATATATATATATATATATATATATATATATATATATATTTCTATTAAACGCTTTCAACAATACTTCAAATTAAACCTTACCGATATATTTCATATTGTACTTGTATAAAATATAATAATATCAATCTGATTTTTTCTCAATTTAATAATAAAAAATAATAATAGCAATAATAGGAATTGAAGTTATGATGAGAATTGCTAACAGTATGTTTGATGATGAAGGTATACCTGAGGATTGGCGACACAGTGTGTTGGTGCCGTTGTATAAGGGCAAAGGAGATGTGAGAGATTGTGGGTCAGACAGGGGTGTGAAATTACTAGAGCACGGAATGAAGGTAGTGGAGAGGGTGCTTGAGAGGAGGTTGAGAAGTATGGTGACAGTTAATGAAATGCAGTGTGGGTTTATGCCTGGTAGGGGAACGGTGGATGCGTTGTTCATGGCGAGAATGTTGCAGGAGAATTATAGAAAGAAGAAACGAAGATTGTACATGTGTTTTGTGGATCTAGAAAAGGCTTTTGATCGAGTACCGAGGAAGGTCATTGAATGGGCGTTGAGGAAGAAAGGAGTGAATGAGAGACTTGTTAAAGCTGTGATGCAGCTGTATGAAGGGGCAAAGACAAAGGTGAGGGTTGGAAGGGGGATGTCGGACGCTTTTAGTGTTAAGGTAGGAGTGCATCAAGGATCAGTGTTATCACCGTTTCCGTTTGCAATTGTGATGGATGTTGTGTGTGGAAACATAATGGAGGGGTTGTTATTTGAGATTTTGTATGCAGATGATTTAGTCTTGATGGCTGATAGCATGGAAGAATTGCAGTTAAAATTTGACAGATGGAAAAGTGTTATTGAAAAGAAAGGGTTAAAAGTTAATATTGGTAAGACGAAGGTAATGGTGAGTGGGGAAGGTGGGGAACGAGTGATAAGTAAAATAGACCCCTGTGGGGTATGTGATAGGAGAGTGAAGGCTAACTCGGTATTGTGTATAGGATGTCAGAAATGGGTGCATAAGAGATGTAGTGGTGTGAGGG